AGGCCTGCACAAGTGTCGAGGGGTCCCCAGAAGCTCCTGATGGGTCCCACCACAAATCCCAGTGTTCAAGGAACCTTCCGACCACTACAGAACAGGCCCAGGCCTCCACTTAGCACCTGCTGCAGATGCAGAGGGGGACTTCAGAAACACGTCGGTGAGGTGTCCACCAGCCTTACCACATGCAGATCCCACTGGAATGCATGCTTCACGGAGGCAGGGTCCAGTATCTGCCCTGCTTAGTAATCTAGGGTAGAGTAGCTACTGACACACATGGCCACAGCTCAGAATTGTCAAGTGGGCAGAACTGATTTGCAGTTCAATGTGGAGCCCAGAGTTTCCATGTTCTGTGAGCTTGTGTGTTTTGACTTTTTTCATGCACTGAGATGCCTGATGTTTAAGAGTAGTGGTGCTCAACCTATGAGTCTCAACCCTGGGGGGGAGGGTGGAATGACCTTTTCACAGGGGTTACCTAAGACCACTGGAAAAACACAGATATTTACGATTCATAACAGTAGCAAAATTACAGTTACAAAGTAGCAACAAAAATAATTTTATGGTTGGGGGTTTCACTGTATTAAAGGGCTGCAGTATTAGGAATGTTAAGAACCACTGATTTAGAGGATTCATTTTTAGCTAGCTTTCTTTTCTTTTGGGGGGAAGTCAGCTAGTTTTCAAACTAAGGACTGGAAGAGCAATTAAGGCAGCATCTGCACAGCCGAGCGGTGGTGAGCACGCCTTCAATCCCAGCACTCAGGAGATGGTGCAGGCGGACCTCGGAGTTTGAGGCCAGCCTGGTCTATAGAGCGAGTTCTAGAACAGGCCCCAAAGCTACAGAGAAACCCAACCAAAACAAAAAAAGCATCTATGCTTGGTGTGCTTTGTGAGGAAAAAAAACACACCAATTAATTAATTGAGGATATTTATCTACTACTGTGTGTGTGTCACAGGTCAGAGGGCAACTATGGGGTCAGATCTCTCCTTCTACCTTTACATGGGTTCTGGGTAGCAATATATAGTTTCTCAGACTTGTGCACAAGTGTGTTGGTGCCTCGCTGGGCCATCTTTTCCCAGGTATTCCTTGGGTGTTGAATTTCAATACAAAGTAACCATCAGAGCAGCTCTCTATACAAGTATGCCTTTGTATACTGAGTATCGCAGATCTATACATTGTTTCCAAGCCAGGCCCGGCGGCACACACCTTCAGTCCCAGCACTCTGGAGGCAGAGGCACTTGTCTTGCCTACACGTCCTGGGTTGTCTCTAGTATCAGGGGCAGGAGAATCCAGGCGCAAGAGTACTTTTAGTTCAAAGCCAGTCTAGGAATTCCTGGCCAGCTTCACCTACAGAAACCCTGTCTCCAAAAATAAAATAAATCAAATGTTAAGTAGGAAAAAGCAAAGGCCTAGACACTTTGAAGAATCACAAAAAGACCCTTTGCATTTGGACCAACAAGTACTTGCATTTGTTGCTTAAACACTTGCTACTGTTTCTCTACTGGCCCATTCTCATCTCTTTCAGAAGTTTGTGTATGCGGTTTAACCTCACGCAAACCTAGTATGCTGTAATTCTCGAAGTATCCACACCAGAGCGCTTTCTTTGATGACTTCATCCCTAAGCACCCAATGGGAACAGAAAAACAAATAAGAACAGGCAACTGTAAGAGGCTGGACCGGCTGAGGACTTGCATCATTTTGCAGGTGGAGGAATGAAGTCAGAAATGGTACTTACTGCTTGCCACTCCTCCCAGGTTATATGGCAACCAAGTCCAGACCAGAGCTCAAACTTGTCCCTACCCAGTACACCCTGCAGGTCAGGCGTATGGCTCAGATGCAGGTCTACCCACTAAAAATCTTGACCGAAAAACAAACAACACACTGTGTGTGTGGCAGGGCAGGAAAACCAAGAGTTCAAGCTCAAGATCAGCTAGACACAAGTTCAAGGCCAGCCTGAATTATCAGACTGTCTCAAAAAGAAAACAAACAAACAAAATAACAAATAACCAAGGCCAAGCGTGGTGGTGCGTACCTGTAATCCCAGCACTAGAGAGGCAGAGTCAGGTGGTGTACATACTGAATTCTGAGCTAGCCAGGGCTACATAGTAACATCCTGTCCATACTAAACAATAACAGTAACAATAATAGTAACACACCACAATCAGCACAGCCCAAGCAGAGCTGATCTGACTCTCCTGCCCAGGTGTTTTCACAGCACCAGTCCCAAGGAGCACAGCTCCCCTCAACAATATGAAGATCTATTTCTACTACAGCTCAACTGAGCAACCCATTTCTCAACTTGGTCCAGTTTTTATCTCAGGTTTAACTTTCTATGAGGACTTAATTGAGGCAGTGGCAAGGAGCCAGGGATGAGAAGTCAGATAGCCGGAGGAATGTGGGCTAGCAAGGTTAGACCCAAAGAGGAAATGCTACTGGCAGAACTCATCTCTCTGATGTCTGTGACCTTTAAGTCCCTGCTCCAGGTCTCAGTGAACTGTGGACACTTGGGGGCACTGGACAGAGCAGATCCACATGGATCTGAAAGTGTTTCAGCTTCAGTTAGGAGAGGGACCACTTTGACTCGGCATCCTTCTGGTCTACAGACTCCTCCATCACAAGGCAGCACTGACTCCACCACCTCGAATCACAGTCCTCAAAGTGCTTCTCAGTTCAGAGTCGCAGCAAGGTGCTTCCTGACTTTTCAAGGACAGATGTGATTTTTAAGAGTTTTTGGATAGGGACCTCCCACCCTGATTCCCTAGTGACTAATAAGCTACTGACCTCTCCTTCTGGGGCAGCACGTTCGTGACCCAGAACAACACCGTGAGCTCTGAATCACGGTCCTTTCTTGAACCCCGACTATCATGGCTAACATACCTGTAAAATTATACCAGATAAACCTTCGACCTCTAAAACAGAGACTGAAGTTGGGTGTGGTGCACCCATTTAATCCCAGTACTATGGAGGCACAGGCAGAATGATCGTGATTCTGAAGGCAGTCTGGGCTAATGACCTAAGCTCTCACATAAACAGACAAACAAATAAATACAGGTTAAACTATAACCTGACTTCTTGAGGCCTTCCCAAGCTCCCACAGAACCACATAACATGAAGAATGTGACAATACGCTTGGGCAGATCCACACGTGACAGCCAAACACACAAGAGCATATTAAGATATTCTTTAAAGGGCTTTTGCTTTAATTCCAGCACTCGTGAGGCAGAGGCCCGGCGGATCTCTGAGTTCAAGGCCAGCCTGATCTACGGGAGTTCCAGGACAGCCAGAGTTACACAAAGAAACCCTGTCTTGGGGGGCAGGGGACACGGACTGGATTTGTATCATCTAAGATTCTAGGCACTGTGTTCGGATAACAGCCACTTGAAAATGGACCCAGGAAGTCAGAGGTTCAGATTCACACTTGTATTACTTTTTTTAAAATAGTAAAATTCCAGAAACAAATCCTCCAGTGATCTCCAGAAGTCCCCAAACCAGGTTACCATGGCCCCCATCTCCATCTTCTAGATACCCACTATCAGCGCTGTCTGGCCTCTAGGTGAACTATATTGTTCCAGGGAGTGGGTCAGGCTAGTTTTACACACAAACCCAGATCAATCCAATACCCTCGCCTCCATCTTCTTTCCCTTACCTCCAACAAAACTCTCACAGTTTGGGAAGGGTTTGGGTTTTTATATGTGGGTTTGGTGTTGTCACAAGCAGCTGAGGATGGCCATGAATTCCTGCCATGTCTAGGGTTACAAGAAAACTCCACTGCTGGTCCACTCACCAACTGCAATTTCAGAAGGTTTAAACTGACTGAAAACTCAAGTCAAGGAAATCGAGAGGCACACAAGAGATCAATGCCTTTCCAAACTTTTCTGACACACAGAAACAGTATAATACACTCCCATGCCCTTGGGTCCCAACACACACACACACACACACACACACACACACACACACACACACGATGGCCATGATGTACTACGGTGATTTTCAAGTCACTCATGGGAATGTTTGAAAGACAACAGTTATAGTTGTAACCTTCCAGCTACAACGGGCAGCTGAATATCCAAATACAGCACACACACACTGACCAGGATAGGCAGTGTCCAGCCGTGACTGCAAGGCCCTGGGTGCCAGCATTTCCCAGACAGCCCAAGGTGACTCGTCTCAGGCCTTGTGACCGCTACACAATCAATCCCTTAACGTCTCAGCGTGGCAAAGCTCACTTACTGCGCACAGTGGAAAGCAATTATTTCCTCTGTCTCCTTTAAGAACCCGAAATTAAACAGGTGGTGTTTGTCCTGTCTTTGTGCGATGACACACAGAAAAGAGGCGGACCCAGTCTTAACCCCTGTTAGGTGAGGGCTTTGGTGAACTGAAAAAGCAGGGAATTCCCTGGACCAGAGGAGTCATTCAGCCTGCCAGAAGCGAAAGCAAGGACTCCCTCTTTGCATGGAAGAATGTTCTAACAAACTCATCTCCAGACCCACTGGGAGAAAGAGGAGCAGATAAACCGCAGGAGACGCGCCAGAGCAACCGGCCTAAGTGACTTGGCCCAGCTAGACCGCAGCCCCTATTCCCCCAAGACTCCACTTCCCGAACTGGGGTAAGCAAGTGAGCGTAATCGAGGGGGCGTGGGAAGCGCGGAAGCGGCGTGGACCATGCAGCCAGAGGGTCCAGATCTGAGGCCTCGCAAAGGGTGGAGACCCCTCTCTCTCTTGACTCTGGGGTCCAGTATGGCCTATCCTCACCCCTCCCCCAGAGAGCCTTCCCTACTTCAGAGAAGAAAGGCGGAGAAGAAGCAGCGCGAGGGGAGCAAGTTGGCCCCTGAGCCCCCTTCATACCGCGTTGGCTCCCAGGCAATCTCCCGCCACGAACCCCGCTGGCCAGGCCCCGCCCCGCCCCCTGCGCCTGCGCGTCGGCGGTGCTCCGTGAGTACGCGCGCACTTTCTACGTGTACGGCGTGGGGGCGGGTCCTGCGAGAGCCCCTCCCCTGGCTCCCCTCCCTCCTCCTGCTCCCCCTCCCCCACGCGCTGCCGCGGCCGCCGCAGGAGCCCAGAGCTCAAGCCGCCCGGCGACTCCCCCTCCCCCTCCCCAGCCCCGCCCCGCCCGGAGCCGGGGCTCCCGAGTCGGAGCCGAGTCTGCGCCTGGGGGTGAGTACGCGGACCCCTCCCCAGCACCCCTTACTTGGATCACAGGATCCCACTACCACCCCAAGGAAGGGGAAAAAAAACACCCGGACTCAGCTGCGCGTCCCCTCCCTTCCACCTCTTGCGGGACCCAGAGGTGCCCGGGCCCCGCAGGACCCAACGGAGGCACGCTTTGTCCCCAAACCCCCACCGTCCCTGGCCAGATGTGAGTCCTTCCACCCCTGTCGGGGCTCCAGTTGTGCGCCGTCCACTGCCCCCGCCCCGCTGGGATATCCCAAGGGGTGGGACCCCCTCTGTCCCGGCCCTTGAGTGCTACTCTCGTCCCACCTGCCCCGTCCAGGTGCGCAGCCCCCTTGCACGGCCCTCCTCGGGTCCCAGCTGCTCCCCAGCCGCCGGCGCCGCTGAAGGGATCCACCCGCCTCCGCCCCCGAGTTTTGCATTCTAGGGTCGCCAAGTCCAATGCCCTCGGTTTCTTTATTCTTTCTCTTGTTGCTGGGGACGGAGCTGGCCTCGAACAAGGGGTCTATGCTTGGGCAAAAGGCAGGGCTCGAGGGTGCTGGCACCAGACCGGTAGCTGGCCCTGGCCCTGGTGGGGACTGGTCTGCCGGCTGGAAGAAGCGGCTGGCCCCGGGAGCATGTCCTCTCCTGCGCCCCACACAGAGCAGTTCATTCATGAGCCGCCCGGGCCTGCGTTGGAGGGTGCGGTGGGGAGAAGATTCAGACGCGAATCCGGAGTAGGCAAAGGCCCTGTTGAGGGGGAGGGGGCGCGCTTTGTCCCTCCCGGCTGTCTTGACCGCCTGGTGCGAGCTGTCCCGAAGCTTGTCGTTGTGTTACCCAGAAAAAAGAAGGGCGCCTGGGAAGTGGGGAAGAGAGGTCAGAGGGGCTGGCTGCCCTTGGGGCTTTGTGCCGCCACCAGTCTTTGCCTCATGATCAGAGGTTTGGCGGCCCATTGCCCAAGGGGGCTTGGGGCTCCTCTCCCTACCTAGTACCACTCCTTGACCCTGTAGCCTCCTCCTGGGTCTGCAGTAGTCCGGGGTGAATGAGACTGTGCCCAACACCTCCTGAAGAGGGGCCCACAGTTCTCTGCCTTCCAGATTCCTGAAAGGAGGGAAGGGGAGTGGCTGCCAGGCTCAGGTGGGGGTATGCTCGCAGCACCTTTGTCCTCCGGGGTACCAGAGGGTCTACGCCCTGGCATGTCCCAGGTGGCACATGCTGGGGCCTGCTGTTAGTTCATCCAGTGCAGTCTTGGCCAGTGAGTGAGTGAGTAGGTGGGTGGGGATGTTTTGAGGCAGAAGATGGATGATAAGTAACTAAGAACCCCTTTTTGGATATCATACAAGTTCCTTCCAAGTACAACAGAGTAACAGAAACCCGGGTTCAAATCCTAGCTCTGCTGTTCTTGAGCCGTGTGACCTTGACAAGTTACTTAACCACCTGAACCTCTGTTTCTATTTAAAAGCGTGATTAGCTACCACCACTCCTTCCGAGGTGGATCTTCGGGATCCAATAGTGTGATGCAGGTAAAGCGCTGGGCATCCTGCCTGACAGTTGATCAATAGTAATGGGTTCACTTCTCTGAACTTCCTGACCTACCAGTCACCTCTGGTGCCCCACCTTGCCTAATGCAGGTGGATGGGGTCCATTCTGGGACTTGGTGACAGAGTCCCTAATGTAGCAAAAGCACCCCCCTTCCATGAGTAGTTCTATTCCTATGATAAAATTATATGTTTTATTTGGTCTTAACCAACCTTCCTCCATTAAAGCAACCTCCTGGAGTCTGTATCTTATTAATACCAACTTTTTTGTGTTTTGATTTGATTGAGCTGTGAAGTCATTTAGCTCAGGCTGGCCTTGAACTCCTGATCTTCCTGCCTCCACCTCCCAGGTGTGCTTGCCTTCAGCAGCTGGTCTTTTCTCTTGGTGGTTTCTTTTGTTTGGTTGGATTTTTTTTAAGTGCTTTAAATTCGAGTTTTGTTGTTTTGTTTTTAATCTTATTTCACCTTTCAAGCAGCCAAAGGGCTGAGTTGTTGTCCCCATTTCACAGGTGCAGGACCCGAGACCCACACTGGTTGAGCATTTTTTCCAGACTAGAAGTCAAGTGCATTTCATGCCGGAGCCCTTGCCCTCTATCCCTGCCTCAGAACTTGAACCCACAAACCCCTGAGTCAAGGATCAGGAGCTCCCAGCAAGAAAAAAAGGCAAGCCTGTAGATCTAGGGTGTGGCATTCCAGTGCTGGTGCTAACAGCCCTCAGCCTCATCGCCCTGCTAGGGGCCTCCCCTATTTGCAGGAGCAGCAAAATGCCTGGGCCCATCTCTGGATCCTTCACAGACTGCCTGTGTGACTTCCCCAAGTTATTTGCTGTCTGTGTGCCTCAGTGGCCTGTTAGGATTGTGAGGGGTAGTAAATAGTAACATTTACAAAGTGCTTAGAGTAGTAACACCTTGTACAGAAGAAAGTAGAATAAACCAGTGTTGTAACTTGTATCCCCAGCATTCAGGAAGACCTTGACTTGGAGCAAAGCCTAAACTGCATAGCTACACTCTGGAGAGAGATGTGGAGTGAGGTGCTCACCTATGGATAGATAGATACACTTTTACCTTTCTCTGATTCCACTCATGCCAGGCAAAGTCCTTAATACTATTTTGTAACAGATTGGAAGAGTGAGACCCATTTTGTATTAAGAGTTAATCTCTTCTCACTGACTTTATATGAATCCCAAGTCCTACCTTAAGTCTTTCCCAGTAACTCTATGAGGAAAAAAAAAACAAAGCAAAAAAGTAACTTCTACCCTTGTGACACACAGTTTCTAGTAGTGAAATGGCCATCTTGACTTAGTCTAAAATCCCCATCCTGCTACAAAACCAGCTTCAGTATCCAGCTAGAGAAATGGGCTCACAGCTGGCTGGGCACCTCTGGACTGGGAGAACCTTCGACCCCTACTACTGTCCCCAAGCAGTGTTCTGTCTTCAGCTTCTCTCCCCTAGTCTGAATTTGGAGCAATTGCTCCGAAGGACACAGCCCAACAGCCCCACCCTACAGTTAAAGACCTGGAAGTTACCCTGTCAACTGGCAAAGCCACCAACCCAACTCCACCCCTTACCTACCCTGTGACCTTACCTAGTTCCATTCCTTCCCTGGTCCCTGTTTCCTCTCTATGGATGGGCGATCTGGGTGTGCTCTGCTTGCCTTGGGTGTTGGGTAGCTGGAGGTGCGCAGTGGCAGTGAAAAGATTGGCAATGAGAAGATCTGGTAACCAGTTACCATGCATCCTGGAAAATTCTCACCCACCCTAGTGGAGCCACATGCAGAAGCTTCTAGACTGTCCCATCTTTGTTCAGAGTAGAGAATATCACAGCGGAAGGAGGGCACTGAAGGGCTTTGAGCCGTTTGTTTAGAAACAAGGGGGTGGGGAGAGGCACTGAGGTTTCTGGAGTTCAGAGAGGTCAGGACTGGGCATGTTGCGTGGTAGGGAGAGAGATGAGACCGAATGAAGTCCCAGGATCGATTCCCAGCACTTAGGAAGTAGAGGCAAGACGATCAGGAATTTAAGGCAATCCTCAGCTTCATAACAAGAATGAAGCCAATCTAGAATATTCGAGCCCTTGTTTCCAAGAAAAATGGGGAGCTAATAAGAGCCTCCCTCCTCAAAATACCTATACCCACCTTTAGCCTGTCCTGGGGCCTCAGCAATGTGTACGTCTTGTATTGCTCCCAGATGCACCCGCACACATTTCTCCACTCAGAGGCCATGAGTGCCTACCTAGCTCCCTATGCAGACAGACACGTATGAGCACATTTACACATCTGAGCACATGTCTCAACTGCCCTTTAATTCTCTGGCCCAAGAACAAATAATTATCATTGCATTGATGAAGCTTCCATATATGCACAGGATCTTCCAAGTTGGAGATCAGCCTAGGCTGCATAGAGACCATGGTAAGAGCGGAAGACAGAGGGCTGCCACCCCCACCCCCAGCCATGGATACATTTCTACCTCCCTGTGGGAGCCTTGCAGTATCTCTGTTACTGATTAGAAGAATGGGGCCAGATCCACCTTCACCTGTCCTAGGCCTATCAGCAAAGCACCTGTGTTCTGAGTAGGGTCCCTGCTTTGGTAGAAATTGACTTAGGTTTGAATTTAGCTTCCATCATTTTATTGCAGTGAGACCTAGTGGGAAAGTACTTAACTTTTCTGAGCCCTCTACTCACATCTTCAAATGACAGTGGTAACTCACAGGATGTTTGAGGATTAAATGCAGTCATATATGTTATTATTCTTTTGTTTTAAAAAGATATATTATTTATATGTGGGGTGTTTTGCCTGTGTGTATGTGTACCGTGTGGGTGTAGTACCGGCAGAGGCCAGAAGAGGGTGTCAGATTTCGTGGAACTGGATTTACAGACAGTTGTTAGCTACCTTGCTAGTGTCTGGTATTGTATCCTTGTCTGCAAGAGCAACCAGTGTTCTCATCTGCTGAGCCATCTCTGGAGCCCCGTATATTGTTGTTCTTGAAACAGTGGACACTTGCAACAATAATTAAACCCATGTGTCTTTAAAGGCAGCTTGAGCCAGAAAAGGAGCCTGTATAGCACATGCAAGGCAGTTGTTCTCTGCTCCATCCTGATCCAGGCTTTGCAAAGATTCCTTGGACCAAGAGAAACATATAAAGAATGCTCATGTTCTCATCCTTAGAAAGCTTCTGGCTCCTGCTCTGTTTGGTTGGATGTTTGAGTGGGAAAGGGGAGACCCCGCGGCTGCTAGGTCACCCCAGGGGGGCTAAGGGACAAATAGTTCCTTCTGAGTTACCAGTCACCTCTTCTCAATTTGTTATTCTCTCTTTGTCTGGTTGCCCTTCTTCCCTTGGGACCCTCCTCCAGGCCGACCTTCCATGTTGTCAGCAGAAGGGGCCCCCAGGGACCCCGAGTAGGACCGGGTGGGGCTGTGCTCCTGTGGTAGCTGCCTCTGAAGCAGCCACACTTCTCCAGCCTGGGAACCTCCCCAGAGCCCTGCTCAGCTTTGTCCCCAAGCACAAGAGCCCAGGAGTCCAATTGGCTTCCCCTTCCCTCCTCTTCTGTCCTTCATCCACTTAGAGCACAAAGGACTGCCAAGGCACCAGGCAGGCACCAGGCAAGACCCTAGTACAGTGGGTTGCTGGGGGCCTTTAGAGGCCTCCGACTGCCCACTCTTTCCCTCTTTTGCCAATGGAAAAGCTGGCTGGAGGGCACAGCATTCCCAGCCTGCTCTGCTCTGGAGGCAGAAGCATAGCATTCTGGGAGTTGTAGTCCTCACACCCCTCTGTTTGCCCTGTGTAGCTAGTTGGAGGGAGGGGAGGGAAGCTGGATTGGAGAAAAGCAGGGGTGGTGGGGACCAGCAAGGTGACACTAACTCTGAAGTCTGGTGCTCATACCTACCTGCCTTCCAGCCCAGTGCCCTGCTTTGAGGACACAGGACTGAACATCTGTTTTGAAGGTGGTTGTATGGAGGAGGTTAACAGAATTAAAATCTCTAAACACATTTGATCATTCTGGTTTTCTTTTCACTTGATCTTAGCCAAAAGACTGAGAAGTCCTATTTCTTTTCATTCTTCACTTACTTATTGTGGTCCTAAAGACTGAACTGTGAGGCTCTGAGATAGAATGAAGCAGTTAACTCTGGACTCTTACTCTCTGGCACAGAAACAGGCCTTTACCCATCTCTAGAAATTTTTATTTATATTGCTTTATATGTATGAGTGGTGTGTGTGTGTGTGCACCACACACATTCCTGGTGCCTGCAGATGTCAGAAAAGGGCATCTTATCCCCTAGAACTGAAGTTATGATGGTCGCGAGCCTCCTCATGGGTACTGGATCAGGGTGTACTGGCCAGACCCAGAGCGCGGTCATAGCCAGAGGGCCATGAAATAAACCCATGTGATACACACCTCCCTTCCCTAGGTGCACCCACTGAGGCAGCTGACCAACCCTCCGGTACCCACCTTGAAAGTCTGGGGTGGGTAGGGGGTGAACGCAGCTGACCGACTCGCCCTCTGCCCGGAAGGACCATGAGGCAGTAGTAGCCATGCTGCCTTTTCTGCTGGCCACGCTGGGCACTGCAGCCCTCAACAGCAGCTCCTCCAAGGACTACTGCTACAGTGCCCGCATCCGCAGCACTGTCCTGCAGGGCTTGCCCTTCGGGGGCGTCCCCACCGTGCTGGCCCTGGACTTCATGTGCTTCCTGGTGAGTGTCCTCCTACCGTCCCCCACCCTTGACACCCGGGCCCAGGACATCCCCTGCAAATGTCCTCCGTCTCTGACCCATGTCCCACCTTCCCATACCTAGCCAAGAAAAAGGGGTTCCCACTTTCCAACTTCAGTCCGTGCACCCATGCCAGGCTCCCCCGTGGACAGCTATTCACTTGCCTCCCCTCTGCCCCCAGGCCCTGTTGTTCTTATTCTCTATCCTCCGGAAGGTGGCCTGGGACTATGGGCGGCTGGCTTTGGTGACAGATGCAGACAGGTAAGAAAGCCTGGGACCGTCCCTCTACTGCACACAAACATCGTGGTCCATGTTGCTTGGGAATAGGGAAGGGCCAGCTTCTCTCATCCCTCTGTTGGGGGATGGGAAAGGACAGTCCCTGGCCAGCACTGCAGTCTGAGGACCCCTGCTAACCTGTGTGTTCTCTGTCCCCAGGCTTCGCCAACGGGAGAGGGCGCGAGTGGAACAGGAATAGTATGTGGGGCAGCAGCCCCCATCCACACTCAGCAGCTTTCCTTTCTCTCCCTCCTTTCACGCTTCTCCCCGCGCCAGTTGCTGGTTCTCTTCTTTTTTGCAGCTTTCTCCTCTGCAGGCTCATGTTTCAGATTAACGCAGGCGGTGTGCTTCGCAGAACAGGGGGCTCCTCAGCTTGTCTCTGCCCTTCCTGGATTTGTTTCTCCTCTTAGACTCCCAACCTAAAAAATCCCCTCTGTGCGTACCCCTGCACTGTTGGCCTTAACTGGCTGGGACAATGGACCGTCCTGGGAACTCCCCAGAAAACCCCTAGCACAATTCTACAGAGACAAGATTGGGCGTCACCCACAGTTCCTCCCCCCTAACAGCTAGTTCTTCATATTCCAGGGTTCCCTGCTCCTTCTGGAGGCCTAGGACAGGCCCTGTCCAAGCAGCCCCCTTTTTGGCCTTTATGTCTCCTCGTGGTCTCTGTCCATAGGACTGAATTAGAGCTGTGGCATCTGATGGCTCAGGGGAAAGGGAGGGTCGGGCCCTGCCCAAGAGACATCTTCCAATCATGCCACCCTTTTGGGTTCTTCTGATCCCTGCTTTCCTTTACCTCCCCTTTGCTTTGGGGGTAATAATTGCCTTTGTTGCCTATCTCTCACTCCCCCTACTGTTTACCTTTGGAACTGCAAGGACATCTAACATTTCTTGCTTCAATCTCCATTCTGGGCAGTAATGAAGACACCCTCTCCCATACGGCCCTCGCCCCACTCACTGTCCATCACCAGTGACCGCTGAGGGAGGCAGGGTAGGGGGAGGTCACTCTTGCTTCAGCCTCTGCACTTTCTGTACCTTTAGTCTCTCTGGGTGCTCACATCTGCCCCTCTGAGTCTCATGCTTACCCCTCTCACCTTCCTCTGCTCTGTCTCCCCACCCCAGTGTGGCATCAGCTATGCATGGGGACAGTCATGATCGGTATGAGCGTCTCACCTCCGTCTCCAGCTCCGTCGACTTTGACCAAAGGGACAACGTGAGTGTCCTCGTCCCAGTTTCCTGAGTGTACTGCTATAAGGTCAGGGACATGGCAATATCAGAGGACAACAGCAGGCCCAGAGAATGTGACACAGGACGGGGTCCTCTGAGTGGCACTCCTAACATTTGTCAAAACTTTGTTTGCTGCAGTAGAATCTGATGCCCACCTCTACTATCAATGAAAACTCTTTTTTCTTTGAACATGGTTTTTTGTTTTGGGGGGAGGAGTTATTTTTGTTTTTGCCTTTATTTATTCATTATGCGCGCGCGCACACATACACACACACGTGCATATACTAAGCTGTGTGTATAGAGGTTGGAACACAGCTTGGAGAAGTCAGTTTCTCTCCTTCCACCCTGTGAGGTTCCAGAGATCATATAAGCCACCTTGCCAGGCCCACCTTGTTTTTCTCTGAGACCTAGGTCTCCATTAGGCTAACCATCTGGCCAGTGAACCCCAGAGATCCGTCTGTCTGTGCCTCCCCAGTGCTGGGAGTGTCTACCACCATGCCCTGCTTTTTTTTTCTGCAGGATCCGGGGATTGAACTCAGGTCCTTTGCTTGTAAGGCAAGCACTTTACTGACTGACCCATCTCCCTCACCCCACTTAAATACTTTCATTTTTTTAGTACTAGAGATAGAGACCAGGGCCTCGCTCATACAAGACAAACTACCAGACTGACGTCCTTTGTGTTGATGGGGTTTTCTTCAGGTGTAGGGGAGGGTGTAGGAAGTGTTCTCTGGGTGGAGCTTCAGGGAAGGGGGGGTCGGGCTGGCAGACTGGGATCTCCAGTGTGTCCCCTCTGTTCCCCCAGGGCTTCTGTTCCTGGCTGACAGCCATCTTCAGGATAAAGTAAGTGAACGGTCTGCGCACTCTAAAAGAGAAACAGAAAGAAACCTCAGAACCTGTCATCTCCCTCCAAAACCAAGGCCAACAGCTTTGAGGGCCTTAGTGCTCCTAGTCCTCGCTGTACCCTGCCCCTACTCCAGGAGGCCAGGCAATGGGGCCCAGCCTGTGCTGACCCCTGATGCTTATTCTGACCCACCGTCTCTCTGTGATGCCCTGCGCGAGGTCAGCCATCCCTGGTCTACCAGCTATGACCACAGCTTTGAGAGCAGGGGCTGGAGCCCCTTCTTCATCCTCTCTGCAGCCAGAGGGTGGGGGCAGCAGGCAGGCTGGAAGCAGCCAGCCAGCCACAGGCAGGAGCCAGCAGCCAGCAGGCAGAACTCAGGAGATCCAGCCAGAGTCCACAGGCAGGCAGTGAGCGCTGAGAAAGGCAGGAAGCTGAGACAGGTCAGCACTGGGCCCCTCACCATGCTCTGGGCCCCTCCCCTAGTGCGGCCCTTGGCCATAGAGCTCAGCCCTGGTACCCTTAAGGCCTTAGAAGGAGCTGCTGCTGCCCACTTTCCGATATCCCTCCCTCACCACCCTTCCTTCTTGTCCTCCTCCCTTCCCTCTTCTTATCTTTGCCCCTCTATTCCCGACTTCTCTCTCTACTCCCGACCTCCCTCTCTCTACTCCCGACCTCCCTCTCTACTCCCGACCTCCCCCTCTCTACTCCCGACCTCCCTCTCTACTCCCGACCTCCCTCTCTCTACTCCCGACCTCCCTCTCTACTCCCGACCTCCCTCTCTACTCCCAACCTCCCTCTCTACTCCCAATCTCCCTCTCTCTTTACTTCTCTTTTTCTAACCACTTCCAGGCTCTGTGCATTCCTCCTTCTCCCCTTCTTCCCCTCCCAGGAAATTGGGATGAGAAGTTCCATCCAGCAGGGTGGGACGGGGGGGGGGGGGGGGGGGGGGGGGGGGGGGGGGGGGGGGGGGGGGGGGTGTTAGGGTGGAGGTGGGGGTGGGGTGGACAGGCTCCAGCTTTCCGGTTGCTGCTCCTCACCCGCATCTTCTGTCTGCCTCCTGTGGTCCACAGGGATGATGAGATCCGGGACAAGTGTGGGGGCGATGCCGTGCACTACCTGTCCTTCCAGAGGCATATCATTGGCTTGCTGGTTGTCGTGGGCGTCCTCTCTGTAGGCATCGTGTTGCCTGTCAACTTCTCAGGGGACCTGCTAGGTCAGTGAGGGCCAGGTGTCCGGACTGGAAGGGGACAAAGGGGTACCTGTGCCGACCCTACCACCCTCCCCTTCTCCTTCTTGCCTTCCAGAGAACAATGCCTACAGCTTCGGGAGAACCACCATTGCCAACTTGAAATCAGGGTGAGGCTTGGGACCTCTCCATTGTGTGGAATCTAGAGTGGAGGCGAGAGATTTGAAGCTTCAGAGATGGATGGCCACAGCAGAGGTAGACCGTGCTGACCCCATAGCCCCACATGACCCTCTGCCCTCCACAGGAATAATCTCCTCTGGCTGCACACCTCCTTTGCTTTCCTGTACCTGCTGCTCACGGTCTACAGCATGCGGAGACATACCTCAAAGATGCGCTACAAGGAGGACGACCTGGTGAGGAAGCGCAGCCTGTCTCGGCTTCCCAGGCAGCCCTGGGGTGGCCGCTGTGGAGTTGAGCTGCCTGGGTTCCCTCCTACTCTAGGATCAGGGCACTTCTCCAGGGGTCCTAGGAAGGCCATGCCTGGGCCTCTCCATGCTGAGCCCAGCCCTTGCGAAATGGCCATGGCTGCTAGTGGTGTCAATGGTTGTATTCCTGGCCATGGGAAATGGCCGTGGCTGGTACTGCCATTGGATGGTTGTATTGTTGTCTTGCTTGATGTGGATGGTGGGAAAATTCCTTTACCTTCTGCAGCCATCCACCTAGCCTGGACCAAATGTTTGTTCTTCGCCAGCCACTGTGCCAGGTCCCCCCTCACAGAACATGGCTCTACCTTTAGGCTTCTGTTACTGACACTCCACTGAGACCTAACAGGTTTCCGAGGCCTGCTCCCACCCCCCTGCCCCTTTGGCTCTCCTGGAGGCCACCTGTAGGAAGACATGCCTGTTGTCCTCTTACACAGGTCAAGCGGACTCTCTTCATCAATGGAATCTCCAAGTATGCAGAGTCAGAAAAAATCAAGAAGCATTTTGAGTGAGTAAGCGGCCCACCCCACCTCAGGCATGCAGACCCTTGCTTACCCATCAGCCCCAAGAACATCTTTGCACCTTTGGATTCATACTCAGTGGTCTGGAGCCCAGGCTGAGGGGAGCAGATCGGAGGAAGGCCTCACGTCCCAAGCTGGGCTGGGTTCCCACTTTCCTGAGTGACAGCCCCTTCAGAACTGGGCAGGGCTAAGGGGTCGCTCAGGGTCACCCATGGCCTTAGGTTTGATCCCTAGCCCTTCAAAAAAAAATTAGTAAATGAGAGAAATAAGATGGAATTGTGAAGAATACAGCCTGTGACATTTGTTTCCTTCCTCTCCCTCCTCCTGCCTAGAACTGGGTCCTGAGGCGGCAACTGCCTCAGAATTATTATCAGCACTTGGTGCATATGCAGACATTGTGGGGCAGCTCATGGGCTGAGGGGGCTTCTGAAGGAGTCTGAGGAGGTTGGCCTGTGTTCCCTCAGCTTCTCTGGCTCTTCAGTTCAGGCGCCTGACAGGCACCTTGGTGTTGAGCCCACGGTGTAGAGGGTCAAGGGCTACCAGCTGTGGTGGTGCACATCTTTAATCCCAGCACTCAGGAGGGAGAGGCAGGCGGATCTCTGTGAGTTCGAGGCCAGCCTGGTCTATAAGAGAGTTCCAGGACAGCCAGGGCTACACTGAGAAACACTTCTCAAAAAACAAACAAAAAGTTAAGAGCCCAGCTGCAGGGATATAGTATGGGGGACAGTCTGCAAACAGGGTTCGAGGTATGGTCACACTTCTGTTCATTTATCACCAAGCTTCCTTCAGTTACTATGGCGAAAGATGAATGAGAGGTCATCTAGCTCAAGGGTCACAGCATGGAGATCAGCTGCAGGAGTTAGTCAAGGGTCTGAACTGAGATTGGTCCAAATCAATCTGTAACCCAAATTAGGAACCAGCCAGTGACTGTGACAAGGGACAAGTCAATCTGTGACCCAAATTAGGAACCAGGCAGTGACGGTGACAAGGGACAAGTCAATCTGTGACCCAGATTAGGAGCCGGCAGGTGTCTGTGAAAGGGACAAGTCAATCTGTGACCCAGATTAGGAGCCGGCAGGTGTCTGTGACAAGTGGCATCACTGGTCTTGGTTCAAGCTCAGGATTCAGGCAGATTCAGGACTTACTCTTTTTTAAATTTTACTTATTTTTATTTTATGTGTATGGGTGTTTTAACTGTGGATGTCTGTGTACCATGTGGGCACAGTGCATGTGGAAGCCAGAGAGGGAGATGGATGCCCTGGAACTGGAGCCACAGATGGTTTTGAGTAGCTGTGTGGATGCTGGGGACCAACCCTGGTCCTCTGGGAGAGCACCGGTGCTCTTAAACCCTAGCCGTCCCTCCAGTCCCAGGTTTATCCCTGAGGTCTGATGTCATTGGCTCACATCAGAGTTCAGTCAGTACGTCATCCCGTCAGCAGTCCTGTCTGAGCAGGTTGGAGGCAGGATCTGGTCAGGTCACATCGCTGAGCCTGTGCACAGAGATCTGGAGCTAGACCTGACGCATGTGACGTACGTCCATTGCACATCTATTGCAGGCACAGAGATATTGGAAGTAAGCCCTGCCCTTCTACAGCCTATAAACCAGGGTGAGAGCTCAGTATACAGCAGTAAACTAACCCAGAAGTTTTCCTTTCATGGGTCCTAGGAGTCAGTGGAAACGGACGAGTCTAGACAGGGTCATGTTGTGGCGGTGCTGAGGTGCCATCCTGAGAGGGAAGGGGGACATGTGAAAGTTACCCTCACCGACTGGCATTTGATCAGAGACCTGAGTACAGCGAAGGAGTTTGCCCTCCCAGCCAAGTCTCTGCTACCCTACTGTGTGCTGTGGGAGGCAGAAAGCCAGACTAGACTGACATGTCCTGGCTGGGCTGCTTTCGGAGTCGGTCTCTAACTTTATTAGGAAACAGCCTGTGGTTAAAGTTTATCCTCACTCAAAGGTGGAGTGAAGAGAATCTGGTCTTTATTGGAGTCTGGGGCTTGCAGTGGGGTTGAGCATAATGAAATCCACCTTTCACCCCCTGTCCATTCAGTGCTTTGGTGGGCACTTACCATGGGGAGGCTGTCAGACAGAACTCTGTATGTGCTGATGACCAGGGGACGGCCTTTGTCCACACTGAACGGTCATCAGTGCTCACTGAAACTCGTGGTCCAGGTGGATTGCCCCAGAAGAAGTAGTGAACACCCTTTGTGTAGAATCACCGTGCCTGTGTGGTTAGCTTTAAGGGATTTGCCATTAGTCTGGCCAGGGTGAGCACTTGCCCTCCCAAAGAGGATGCCTACAGCAGCTCAGAGCCATGAAGGAAAGAGCTGTGGCCACCTAGCAAGTTCGTTTCCAAGGACACCATGCCAGGTGTGAGTCTCTAAATTGTTGTGAGTTTGTGGCGTTCGTCTTGCTACTGTGGAACTTTATATCACATGTCTCAAATACTTGGTGGCCCTTCATTTCATTTTAATAAAACATCAAAAAAGATGAAAGAGTCAAGCTCAAGGACTGGATCATTTTGCAGTCACGTGGGAAGGACACCGCTTGGTAGATCAGCAAGCATTTTGTGAATGCTCTCCAGAGCCACATGCCAGAGAGTCAGGGCAGCTCGCCATACTCAGGTTGGGGATAGGGGTCAGCCCTGGGCCTGGGTCATGGCCAGGGTTAGAGATCAGATTCAGGACCAGTTTCTTGTTGGTCTTAGGCCAAGATTGGTTGGAGTAAATCCAAAGTCAAGGCCAAGTGTTGGATCAGGACCAGGGCTTCTGGGAATAGAGCTTAGAGAACAGCCTGAACTAGAGACAGTTTCTCTGAACCTCAGTTCCCAGCCCTGGGCAAGAGTCAGACCACAGGCCTGGCCTTTCAGCTCCACACAGGAGTCTCCTCACATAGCCAGGGTTACTGTTGCCCACTGCCTTTACACAGTCTGAATGCATACCTGCACCCAGGCCCCACTCATAACGTGAGGAAGGACTTTAAAGTTCTGTTCTTTGTGTTTGTTTGTTTTTCAAGACAGGGTTTCTCTGTGTGTCCCTGTCTGTCCTATAACTGTCTTTGTAGACCAGGCTGGCCTTAAACTCATAGAGACCTGCCTGCCTCTGCCCTCTCGAGTGCTGAGATTAAAGGTGTGAGCCACCACCGCCAGGCAGTTTGTTTGTTTCAAAGTTCTGTTGTTGAGGAGCACTTAGACTGAGATGGGGGTACCCTGGGCATGTGTTGATGCGCTGGCGCCCTGGATGGTAGCCAGGATAAGCAGTGGGTGGGGCCTGCAGAGCGTGACGGCTGAACTGTGTTTCAGGGAGGCCTACCCCAACTGCACCGTCCTGGAAGCCCGGCCCTGTTACAACGTGGCTCGTCTTATGTTCCTTGACGCCGAGAGGTACTGGGTTGGGGCCTGGGAGGCTAACACCAAGGGCCCTCTGCTCGTTGTGGAGGGAACCTTGGCTACCGTGTGGGAACCTGGCTCCCTTTTCAGTTGTTTCCTTGTGCGTTTTGAATATAGCTCAACCTTGGGGGTCTCTGTTACTTCCAAGGTCTGGGGTCTTAGAGTGTATTGCAAGAGGGAGGGGGTCTACAGTCTTCACGTCTGAGGACTTAACCCTCTTCATCTACAGTACGAGAAATTTATGGCACACTAGTAGAAGAATTGGCCCTCTAGAAATGGGCAGGGAGGTCCTTGGATGGGACTACTGCTGAGCCCTGTGCACTAAACAAACCTGATAACAAGACAGCCCCTGTCACTGGGGACCTGAATTTTTGTCCACTCCCAACCCCTTTGCTTTTGAGAAAATTTTACATGACCTCAGGTTTGTAGGAATATAAATAGGAATACAAGCCAAACATTTACTGAGAATAAATCATAAAGAAATTTATTTTAGTCGGGCAGTTGTGGAACATGCCTTTAATCCCAGCACTCAGGAGGCAGAGGCAGGTGGATCTCTGCGAGTTCAATACCAGCCTGGTCTATAGAATGAGTTCTAGGATAGCCAAGGCTACATATAGAAACCTTGTCTTGAAAAAAAAATGGAAAAAAAATAGAAAGATGTTTATTTTAGCTGGGTGGTTGTTGTGTTCACATTTAATCCCAGCACTCGAGAGGCAGAGGCAGGTGGATCTCTGAGTTTGAGGCCAGCCTGGTCTACAGAGCAAAATTCCAGGATATCCATGGCTACACAAAAACCCTATTTTAAAACAAAAAAGAAGAAAAAGAAAGAAAGAGCCAGGTGGTCATGGTACACATCTTTAATCCCAGCCCTTGGGAAGCAGAAGCAGGCAGATCTCTGAGTTTAAAGCCAGCCTGGTCTGCAGAGTGAGTTTCGGGACAGCCAGGGCTACAAAGAAACCCTATCTCAAAAACCAAAACACAAACAAACAAATTTTTTTTTATATTTATTATGTATACAATATTCTGTCTGTATGCCATTACAGATGGTTGTGAGCCACCATGTGGTTGCTGGGAATTGAACTCAGGACCTTTGGAAGAGCAGGCAATGCTCTTAACCTCTGAGCCATCTTTCCAGCCCAAACAAATGTATTTTAAGACAATTCCTGGGGCTAGAAGGCTAGACGGCTAGCTCAGTCGGCAAAGAACGAGCCTTGCAAAAAGTCAATACCCAGAACCCACATAAAGATGTCATTGTCACAGCACACACCTGTAACCCCAGTGTTGGTGAGGCAAAGCCAAGAGACCCTGCCTCAAAGGTGGATGGCTAGAATAGGATGTTGCCTGAGTTATCCTCTGGCCTCCACTTATTAAAATAAAATCCCTTGGTCCTTATATGATCTTTCTATTTATCATCTAGTGAAGAGAGTGGGCTGGGAAGATGGGTCAGTGGGCAAAGGGTTTGTCATACAAGAGTAGGACCAGTGTCAGGGTCCCCACCACTCATGTAAAAAACAAGCCCCAGGCACATCTATAACTGGTACTGTGAGGGCAGAGACAGGCAATCCCTGAGATTCATTGGCCTTCCAACCTGACCAAATTTATGAGCTCCAGATTCAGTAAGAGACCCTGCCTCAAAAACTAAGATACAAGCCTGGCAGTGTGGTTTGCACACTCAGGAAGCAGAGGCAGGCGGCTCCGAATTCAAGGCCAGCCTGGTTTACTACATAGTGAGTTCCAGAACAACCAACACGATATAATAGGGAGCCCTCTCAAAAAAAAAAAAAAAAGACAAACCTGTAAGACAAGACAATCGAGGGATGCACCCAATGTCAGCACCTTGTTTCTGTGTGTATGCACATGAATACAACATGTAAACTTGCATGCACCAGTGCACAAACACAGCACAAACAAGATGGAAGCACACTCCTAAGATGAATGTACTATGTCTGACATGGTACCAAAGACACGGGCAATAACACAGGGAAACGTTAACTCTTTGTTTTTCGTAATGAAACCATTGTTCTTCTATGAGAGCAGAAGGCTTTCTATGCACAGTGGGTTCACGGTGACTCATTGGCACAGTCTGAGTCAGAATGTTTGCAGTGTCTCTAGCACGGCGGCAAAGGCCACACAAACTGCAAGCTGTGTCCAGAACCAAGGCTACAGTGGAGTTGCAGGCTCCAGTACAGGCGAGCTCTGCAGAAACACCTCAGGTGCAGGATGTGATTGGCTGTTGCCTTTGGCCGGTGCCTGATATTCATAACCCCCCAAGTTCAGTTATGCAACCCCACATCATGGCCCACCATTAAAAAGCTTTGGGTTTTGCCAGGTGGTGGTAGTACATACCCTTAATTCCAGCACTCAGGAGACAGAGACAGGCAGATCTCTGTGAGTTTGAGGCCAGCCTGCTCTACAGAGGGAGTTCGAGGACAGCCAGGGCTACACTTGCTCAGCTCCCCACCCCACCTCCCATCCATCCTCACACACTAAGTGGTGGGTGACTGGCCCCCTGGGTCCTACAGGAAGAAGGCTGAGCGGGGAAAACTCTACTTCACGAACCTGCAGAGCAAGGAAAATGTACCTACCATGATCAACCCCAAACCGTGTGGCCACCTCTGCTGCTGTGTGGTTCGAGGCTGCGAGCAGGTACCTTTAGGTGCCCAGGGTCCCTGGCGAGGCTGGGGAGGGCTGGACAGGTCTCAGTGGACATGGTAGACCAGTCCACCATCTGAAGACAAACAGGTATGGTGGACAATAAGACCCAAAGGTAAACAGACTCTCAGAGGAAGAGTGCCCGGGGCCCTACCCCAGACAAGCCTCCACCTCCTTCTGGAGCCCATGAAACCCCTGATTCTTTCTTTAAATATTTATTTAGGGGAGGGTATACCATGGTGCATGTGTGGAGGTCAGAGAAGTTTATGAGTCAGTTCTCTACACCATATGGGTTCTGTGGCTCAAACTCTGATTCTCAGGCTTAGCGGCAAGCTCTTTTTACTCACTGAGCCATCTTGCAGGCCCTTGCAGCCCCCGTTCTCACTGTTGGGTTTGTCCGGTTTGTGATAACTTTTAAAACCATAGATTAGGCGAGCATAGCGAGGGTCTGGGGGTGTTGTTCAGTGCCGGCCTAGCATACAGAGGTCATGGGTTTGATCCCCAGTACCACATAAATCAGGTGTGCCACTTGTCTGGGATCTCAACATTCAGGAGGTGAAGGCAGGAGCAGCTGAAGCTCAGGGTCATACCCACTACTTAAGAGAGTTTGAGGCCAGCCTGGGCGACATGAGACCCTGTTCTTTAAAAATAGCTGAGAAGCTAGTGAAATAGTCCAGACCTGTAATCCTATTGTTTGGGATGCTGAGGCAAGAGGAGCTCAAGTTTAAGACAAATCTTGACTGCATAGCAGCTTCCGGAAAGAAGAGGAGCGATGGAAGGGAAGGAGAAAAACATGAATTATTTTTAACAAGTTTCTTAATTACCCCATTCCTTGGTTCCCCCCTTGAGACTGGGTTCATTGCAAGGCTAAGGCAGGGACAGAACAGCTCCAGACATACCAGAAAGCCTCAGGAGTTGCTGGCTGATGCTGCGGGTGCCTCCCAGCTCTGACCAGAGTCCCTGGCCCTCCCACCTATAGGTGGAGGCCATTGAGTACTACACAAAGCTGGAGCAGAGGCTGAAGGAAGACTACAGGCGAGAGAAGGAGAAGGTGAATGAGAAGCCTCTTGGCATGGCTTTTGTCACCTTCCACAATGAGACCATCACAGCCATGTGAGTCGCTGTCATCATCACATGACCCCCCTCCCCCCACCTCCACCTCTTGCCCTGGACCTCTCTCTGATACTGTGGTCCCCAGTCTCTGCTGCAGTAACAAGTATCTACCTCCTCCCCGCCCCCAGCATCCTAAAGGACTTCAACGTGTGCAAATGCCAGGGCTGTGCCTGCCGTGGGGAGCCGCGTGCCTCTTCCTGCAGCGAGGCCCTGCACATCTCCAACTGGACCGTGACCTACGCTCCAGACCCCCAGAACATCTACTGGTGAGCCACGGCAGGTGGAATGGGGCTTCCTAAAGCAGGAAGATGATGGAGAGGGAGGTGGATGTTGCCAGAGACCAATCAGTCCGGAATCCTCAAAGTGACCCTCTCTCACCTTCCCAGGGAGCACCTGTCGATCCGAGGCTTCATCTGGTGGCTGCGTTGCCTGGTTATCAATGTGGTCCTCTTCATCCTGCTCTTCTTCCTCACCACCCCGGCCATCATCATCACCACCATGGACAAGTTCAACGTCACCAAGCCTGTGGAATACCTCAATGTGAGGCCCATGCCCACCCAGCCCTCCATGATGTGGTGTGAGCATCAACGCCAGGCAGCATCCCCTCATCCTAGTGTAGTTCTGGGTCCAGTGGTCCCAGCCTAGCCCTTCCAGGGTGCTTCCCAGGGACCAGAGAGCATCCCTCATCCTAGTGTAGTTCTGGCTCCAGTGGTCCCAGCCTAGCCCTTCCAGGATGCTTCCCAAGGATCAGGCAGCACACCTCCCCACCATGCCTGCCCTTGGGTTCCACCACATCCTACCCTCAGGAGAGGCCACTCTTGGTTTTACACCTCCTGGAGAAACCCCCCAGGAGGACGCATGACCTTGAATAAGGCCCCTTTTCTCCACTCTCTGAAAAATGGGAGGTTTAGATTGGCCCCTTGACGTTCATGTGCACATTCAGATCCTCTTGTCAGCTTGAAGCTCAAGGCTGCTCAGATGACAGTAGGGTACACACATGGCTGCCTGGCCTCCTCTGCCCCTCCTGCCATGGACTTCAACACTCAGAAGCTCAGTAAACAAGATGCGGGCCCCAGTGCAAACCCCATCCCACTGCTCACTAGCTGGCCCAGCCATCGAGTCTTGTAGCCTAGGTTGGCTCCTGGTTGTGTGGTTTAATATGTAGAGCGTGCACAAGCACTCAGCACATAGTAGGTGTTCAGCAGATGCTCACCGTCAGCATCACACTGGAGCTGTTTTCACGGCCCTAGCCTCCACCCCCTAGCTGTCTGAGTGTTCTGGACTTTTAGGCTCACCCAGCTACCCCTAATGACACCCCCTGTCCCCTCACACAGAACCCCATCATCACTCAGTTCTTCCCTACACTACTGCTATGGTGTTTCTCCGCCCTGCTCCCCACCATCGTCTACTACTCTGCCTTCTTCGAAGCACACTGGACACGGTAAGCTGCCCACACTGCACCTACCAACCCTGTCTCTGGGCAGCCAGCACTTTGCCCTGAAGGGTCCCTGCCCTGGGCCCTGTACCTTCACCTAGGGGACCCCCACCATCCAAGGGAGCCTCCTGGGACATTGTCCCAGGATGGGCTGCCCTGCCCTGATCTTGGCCTGTGCTCCGCTGCCTGCCCACCCTCATAGCTCCGGGGAGAACAGGACCACGATGCACAAGTGCTACACCTTCCTCATCTTCATGGTGCTGCTTCTGCCCTCGCTGGGGCTGAGCAGGTGAGTGTCGTGGGACCGAGGGGAGCCCGGGTGGAGTGCACAATAGGGGGAGGTTTACCTGTCCCCAAACTTGCGGGTGCTCAGCTGCTCTGCCATTCTAGCTCCCATCCTTCTCCCTGCAGCCTAGACCTCTTCTTCCGCTGGCTCTTTGACAAGAAATTCCTGGCCGAGGCAGCTATTCGGTTTGAGTGAGTGATCAGAACTCTTGGGGAGAGAGGCAGACAGCGGGTGGATGTGTCTGAGACACTTCTAGCCTTTATAGGAGGGTGTCACCAAGCTTCCAGCTGTGTGGGGTGGGGTTAACACCCCACATCTACTGGGTTATCCGAAAGAAGACACCCACAGGCTATGTCCTTGGATGGAGTGTGTTGAGCTCATGCTCAGGAATGCACCTGAATTGAGCTGAGCGCGTGCTCAAGGGGGGATCTAAGTCTTCAGAGCTCTTAGGTGGGGGCTTCTGTGCGGTCTCAGGTTCTTATTCTAGGACTGCTAGGAGTCTTAGATTTCAACAAGGAAGTCGGGGAGATGTCTGTAGTGATAACTTGGTCATAATTTGGGGGTGACCTGGGGACCCTTAGAGTATCCCTGAGGGTCCCTAGAACACTGAGGTCTCTTAGATTCACAACTCAGAGTGGCCCGCTCTGGGGCACAAAGCTCAGGGTGCTTATACAGCACAAGTTGTGTCTCTCAAGTGTGTCACACTCACTTAGGTGTGACTGTGGAGTGTCCTCCCCACCTCACTCAGGTGTGACCATGGAGTGTCCTCCCCACCTCACTCAGGTGTGACCGTGGAGTGTCCTCCCCACCTCACTCAGGTGTACCCGTGGAGTGTCCTCCCCACCTCACTCAGGTGTGCCCGTGGAGTGTCCTCCCCACCTATCCCTCCCAGCACCTTTCTCCATTGCATACTGTGTCTCTCGTAGGCTCAGACTCCAGGAACTTTCTGGAGTCTTCTCTGGCCATCTTGGACTTAAGGACTTTCTGGTTCTTGTCACTCCTCCCACACCAAAGACATCTGAGGGAGGGTTTCTGAAGCTTTTTAGTGACAGAGTCCAAGGCTCTGTTGTGGGAATACCAGAGTCAGAAAACTTCCTGGGTTTTCTGCGCTTTTGAGTTTTTTTGTGAAGGTCTCAATAGTTACTTACTACACATACTAGTGGCCTTATGTGGTCTTGAACTCTTCTCTCCTCGGATGTTTATGGGGTACACCATCTAGGTAGGTCTCTGGGCTGGTTTTCAAGGTATACGTCTGGGCTTTGGTGTTTTGGCATTCTGGGGTTCACACTGTGGAAAGACTGGAGCACAGGTAGGATGGGTCTAGGAATGGGAGGGTGTACATGTAGAGGAAGCAACTGGGTGAGGGCATGGTGGGCTGTCATGCTAGCCGTGGGCAAACAGCCACCAGGTCACCCCAAGGGAGCCGTGCTGGAGCACCCGCTGCCTGCAGGTGTGTGTTCCTGCCGGACAACGGCGCTTTCTTCGTGAACTACGTCATTGCCTCAGCCTTTATCGGTAACGCCATGGACCTGCTGCGCATCCCAGGCCTACTCATGTACATGATCCGACTCTGCCTGGCGCGCTCCGCCGCTGAAAGACGCAACGTAAAGCGGGTATGGCCGCCTGGGGCAGCGGCAACACGCACAGCGCCCTCTCTGGTGGCCCAGCCAGAAACAGCAGTGGTCAGGCTCGGGTGGAGGGTGGGGCACAAGAATGCTGGACCTTAGCGATTTTAGTTCCCATCTGAAGCCTCAGTTTCCCTGCACATATAGCTATGGGTGGACAGATTATCCCAGGAGGTCCCTGAGTTCTGAGAGCATACTGTTTGTGCTTGGAGTTGGGAGAGGTCTAGCTCCCTTGGTTTAGGTTCCCTCTGCCTTCATTCCACAAGAGGGCGCTGGATAGCTGTCCCCAGACCTCAACTTTTGCTCTTACCTTCCCATGCCCCGTCACTGCCCCTGCCTGGCCTCCCTATCAGCCACAACCCCTGCCTCCCACCTGCTTTGCTCTCCCCTGCACCACCCCCACATTAGGTCCCTCACTCCCCATGGCTTTATTCCCAGCCCCAGAGTTCCTGGCCGCCTCCTACCTGCCTCGCCCCCTTGCAGCCTGTCCCCTCCACCCTGAGCCACCCTCCTGCCCATGTCCCCCCCAGCATCAGGCCTACGAGTTCCAGTTTGGCGCAGCCTACGCTTGGATGATGTGCGTCTTCACGGTGGTCATGACCTACAGTATCACCTGCCCCATCATCGTGCCCTTCGGTAGGCACCGCCGCGCCGGGACCTGGGCCCTGCTCGGGGGAACCCAGGGCCTCACCCGCTCCACTCTAGTAAGGCAGGCCACCCTGATTGGACAGGGCCCTGGCTGGGAGACCGGCCCCTCTGGCCTCCCGCCTGGTTCCTGGCTCAGTCTGGGGCTGGGCCTTGGGGAAGAAGGGGAGAGCAGCTCTGTTGAGGCGTGGCCCACCTGGCACGCCCTGTCCCTGGGTCAAACCATCCACCTCAGCGATATTTACTGGCCCTGAAGCCTTCCTTTGGTTATGCGTGGACATACTTCTCTCCGAGTTGTTACACACATATACACACATTCCTATTACCAACATCTACACGTATACACAGACCTCAAAATTCAAGAAAACCCCTTGGGTTCCAGAGTGGACTAGGTCCTTGTAACTTAGGGACATGTAACCTGGACAGGTCCCTCTTCTCTTTGGAGGTGTTTAGCTAAGTTTCTCACTGACCGTGGTCCCACCAATAACCTCACCTTCCCCCATAGCATCCTGACTCCCTCCTCAAGGCTCCAGACTCTCAAATTAACCGCCTAGCCCTTGTTTAAAGTTCCCTGTGCTTCAGGAAGCAGAACCTTCCCTGACTTTATATCCAACTGTTTAGGGACGGGTAGGAAGGCGTAAGAGGGGTTCCAAAGGCTTCTTGATCACCTAAACGAATGACTCTCTGGTGGTTGTTCTGGGGGGAGGACAGGGAGGCTGCACAGGGTGAAGGGACCGGAGGGGAAGAAGCTGCAGCTTCCATCTGCGGCAGTACAGGGAGCAGCCACCTCAGAAGGCCAGGGCAGCCTGTGGCCGACACACAGGGTCTGTGGGCGCTGGTTCCGAGGTCAGGGCCATTGGCTTTCCTCAGGGCTCATGTACATGCTGTTGAAGCACCTGGTAGACAGGTACAATCTCTACTATGCCTACCTGCCGGCCAAGCTGGACAAGAAGATCCACTCAGGGGCTGTGAACCAGGTGGTGGCTGCACCCATCCTCTGCCTCTTCTGGCTGCTTTTCTTCTCTACCATGCGCACAGGTGAGGCCGCCGTCCCGGCGGGGGTGGGGTGGCCAGGACAGAAGGGGTTGTCGAAGCTAGAACTTGCGACCTGAGAGCCACGTGGTAGAGTCTGGTAGGTCTTGGCAAGGTTGTACAGATGGAAGTGGAAGAATCAGAAGCAGTGGTAGTGAGCCCCTTGAAGAGAGCCCAAATGACAGGCCAGGCGATAGCCCCTTTTTTTGTGCTCCCCAATCCCAGGATTCCTAGCCCCCACATCCATGTTCACCTTCGTCGTTCTGGTCATCACCATTGTCATCTGTCTCTGCCACGTCTGCTTCGGACACTTCAAATACCTCAGTGCCCACAACTACAAGGTGTGGGGCGGGAAAAGAGGTGGTGGAATTGGCTGAGGGAAAAAGTTTCCTGGGAGGGCGGCACACGGGGTGTGGGGTGGCATACAGGGTCAAAAGGTGCTGAGCGGGTGATGGGGTATGACGGGCTAAAGACGAAGGCGTTTCCTCCTGCTCCCTGGTCCCCTTAAGATTGAACACACAGAGACAGATGCCGTCAGCTCCAGAAGTAATGGACGGCCCCCCACTGCTGCCGCTGTCCCCAAATCTGCGGTGAGTGCCCCTACTCCACAGCCATGGGTACCCGAGACTCAGTCCCAAATCTGGGTGGACCGTTAGTCCTCCACAGAAGTCAGCCTGAACCAGACCTCATGGCGGTGGGCACCAGCATGGGAGAGAACTGGCTTCACCCTCTCCACTCCATCCCCTAGGGCACTGCCCACTGTGCTGCCCACAGGCCCTAAGATACCTGCCCCCACCTACCCACCCAGAAGGGGCAGCTGTCCACCTTACCCCTATTCCTTTTCCCTTCAGAAATACATCGCTCAGGTGCTGCAGGACTCAGAGGGAGACGGGGATGGGGATGGGGCTCCTGGGAGCTCGGGCGACGAGCCCCCGTCATCCTCCTCCCAAGATGAGGAGTTGCTGATGCCGCCCGAGGGCCTCACGGACACGGACTTCCAGTCATGCGAGGACAGCCTCATAGAGAATGAGATTCACCAGTAAGGGGAGGGAGGGGCCCTGGAGGCCACGCCCTGCCCCTCACCCCCCCCCCACGGACACTAAAAAACAAAACGCTAATAATTTATTAGAACTAAAGCCCCCTCCTCCTCGCCTGTCCCCTGCTTTCATTAAGGTATTTAAACCTGGGGATTTCACTGCTCTCCCCCGTCATGGAGGGAGGAAGGGAGCCCCCCAACCTCAGTGAGGACAGCCCCGAGCAGGCCCCGGGGCAAAGAGGGGTGTGGAGGGAATCCCCCCCAGATCAGCCTCACCACCCAGTAACGTGGCCAGGAAAGGGTTAATGAGAGCCAAGGTGGGTACCTGGTGCCATGGCTAGAGGCCTGGGGAAGAACAAGCACATATCTGGCTGCTCCCAGCTCTCCTCTTCCCTGCCCCTGGATCTGGGCCTCCAGGGACATGGAGCCTGCAGCCCTCTGGGATGCAGGAGAAGGGAGGGGTGCAGAGTGGGAGGAAGAGTCAGGCCTGAGCCAGGGGGTGACCTGGGGGGCTATGGCTGACACTGGAAAATGGGATTTTGCACTGGATTTGTTTTTTGTTTTTGTTTTCCTTTAAAATAAAAACAAAAGCTCCAAACTTGTGTCTGATTGGGAGCACAGCCCTGGAACCTCATGCCCTGCCCTCCCGAGAGGTCCTAATTACAGTCCTGGAATGAGCTCCCTGTTTTGTTAGAGGGACCATTCGTTAGGAAGAAGCTCTGGACTCAGGCCAGCCCTATGCTCTGAGCGTCCCAAGAATTCCTAGAGACAACGGTCATGAGAGAACTGCAAAAGCTTTGCCCCAGGTGGGCCCAGTGTGTGGCGTGCCTCAACCCACATGTCTCCAGGAACCCCCATTCTCTAGCCATTTTTTTCTTAAGACCCCAAACTCACCTTCTCTAAGGGCTCTCTCTAGGCCTCTCAGCAAGGGCACAGCCATGTGTATCCCTCACAATGTGTCACGTGCAGCAAAAGCCAGAGAGCCTCTGCCCCAGGCTGGCTGTGTCACCAGCTGGCTGTGTGTCTCTGAGAAAGCCTTCAGCCCTCTCTGGACCTGTTTTTCTCAGTCAAATCAAGCTGTATGGCCACGTAACCTCGAAAGCCAATCTCACATGCCTTTCTCCAGCCGTGGCCTCTGTTGACTGGAGTTTTATGTCCTGTTTGTTTGCTTGTTTGTTTTTACAGAGATGGGGTTTCTCTGTGTAGCCTTGGCTGTCCTGGAACTCACTCTGTACAGCAGGCTGACCTCGAAGTCAGAGATCCTCCTGCCTCTGCCTCCTGGGTGCTGGGATTAAAGGCATGTGCTACTACTGCCTAGTAAATTTTCCATCCTTCAACAAAAAGATGGGAAAGTGAATTGAGGTCTGCCCAGAGAGAAGAGGTCCAGGATAGGAAGAAAAGAAAACAAAGCAGATACCCAAAGGCCTGTAGAGACAAGAGGGTAGGCAGAGAAGACCACAAAGACCCTGATGAAGGCATCAGGAACAGGAGTTAGGCCCCTCCCTAGAAGTGGTGATACCATCTACACCATAAAAACCCCCAACACATGCACACAGAGCCAGTGCTCATGGCAACTGACCATGGGTGTAGGACCAAGCTAGTTACCATGGTGACAGGTGCGGCCTTGGTCCTAGTCCCAGTCCTGTAAACTCTGAGCTGCAGCCTTCAGTATGAGCTCCCGGGCAGAGTCCCTTAAGTGCTGGAAGGAGAACAGCTGCCAGGCCAAGGGCTGGAGGCAGAGTACCAGCTACTGGTAGCAGAAACTGAAGAGTCTGAAGCAAGCATCTCAGCTGCAGAAAGGCTCCTAGGCATCGTCTGTATGGCTGAGCAGGCTCACCACACCCTACCTGGAAAGTCCCATTGCCTGCCCAGTGTATCCTGGACAACTGTAGCCCTGACCTCGCTGCTCACCTGTATAGTGTGCCTCCCGGCCCTGAGGTGGGAGGTGGAAATGGGGTTCTCGTGGTTCTACCATGGGGAGTCTCCTGGTGGGCCTCAAGTTCTAAGCCGAACTGAAATGCTTAGGGAAAAGAAATGAGGTAAGACTCAAACAGCTCATAGCAGGGGTGCTTAGGAGAGCCGCTCCCCAGGGTGAAAGGCTGCAATAGAGAAGGCCCAAGCCCACCTGTTCCTGGCTCCTGGGTCAACTGGGACCCATTCGTAGTAGTATTTGGCAAACAGTACTTAGCTCTGGTCTGGGTTCTTCAAGAAACCTAACAGTCTCCACACTTACTGGCTTTCTCCTGGCTGCAGGTAGAGGAAGAGCAAGGGAAGTGGCTTCAGGGAGCCTCCTGGGTATCCTCCTTCTATGGGATAATAGGTAAGGGTTGAGGCTTTAGGTTCAAATCCTGGCTCAGCCTCTTACCTGCTGAGTGACCCTGAGCAAATAGCATCACACCCCTGGACCTCACCTACAAATGGGGAATAGGAGCTGGGGTGCTGCTCAACTGATGGGGTGCTTGCGTAGCACGCACAAGGATAGATTTGATCCCTAGCAAGGCGTGAACTGTGTGGGGTGCACACCTGTGACCCTAGCGCTCAGGAAGCAGAGGTACTTAGGGTCAGAAGGTCAGGGGCCCAGGAGATGGCTCAGCAGGATGAAGCATTTGCCATAATGACCCGAGTTCAAGCCTTGGAACCCACAGTGGAAGAGAACAAGATGTCAGAGTTGTCTTCTGGTATTCTTGTGCACATGACATATGAAGGAAGGCGGAGGGGCTGGTAGCATGTGCCCACAGTCTCAGCACTTGGGAGGTAGCGACAAGGAGGACCCTGGGTTTAAGGCCTTAGCTATGAAGCAAGTTCGAAGCTAGCCTGGGCTACGTATCTTCAAAAAAAAATGGTGAGGTAGTAAGACACAAAGACACGACACAGACTTGTGAGATCATGGCTTTTTGGTAAACGAGAAGCTTTTCAGGATAAAAAAAATGCAGGCTGAAGGGATAGGAACAACCACTTCCAGAAATCTCAGACTGACAGGGAGGGACTTGCCCTGGGGGTGGCTCCCCAGTTAGGTGCTTGTCCCCATCCCAGCAGGGACAAGCCTGGGACCTGGCAGATCAGAAGGGCCAAGTGGGAAGGACAGAAAGGCAACAGTTAGACCACTGCCCCTGACTTAAGGCTCCCCCTACATTAGAGAGTTCTGGGTGGGGGGAGGGGTGGTCTGTGCCGCCCCCCCCCCCCCCCGCCAAGAACCTTCAACTGTCAAGCACCGTGCTAGGTGCTCACCTGATTGCCTTCGGGATGCTGTACTCCCCAGGTAGGCACTAATGGGGCCTTCTGGATACTAGCACTTCCTGCGGAAATGGAGCTGTGTTCTCTGAGACCTCAGACAGAGGTGGTCCTTCCTCACGTTGGATGCTCTGGGGATAAAAGCTGGTCTTCTTCCTTAGACATAGGGAAAGACTAGGCAGGTAGCCTTCCTCTGTCATTTCACCGACACATTGATGGGTAGAGCAATGTCCTGTTCCCTTCAGTCATGGTTGTCCACAAACGGGTTTGTGTAAGGGGCCCCCATCAGCCATTAGAGATATGGCAAACCCTTGGGAACAGAGACTATCTCCCAAACCTAGAAAAGTGGCCTTCTTAGTCCCAAAACCTGAGGTCTGAAGATACAGCAGAAGCAAGCTATTTGGATGGAGCCTGAGCCCCCCCCTCAGATCTAGGGTGGTCTGGGCTGGTAGCAGGGCAGCTGTTCCTTTGGGGAATCCAGCTTCAGCAGCAGAGAAGAAGCAGGGCTCAGCTCTGGTCCTCCCCCTCAAGCCTGTAAGAAGGAGGGAACTGAAAAGGCCTCTAGACCCCGCCTCCGGGCTTCTGTGACAGGCTAGGGACCTGACCCCTGGATGTGTAGGTTTGAAGGAGACCCTAAACCCCTAGAGTTTTCTGAAGATGAATCTCAGTTTCCTCTCCAGCGTGAGCAAACTACCCATAAAACCACTGGTTCCCTGATTGCGATGGAATAGGTTCAAAAGTCACTGAGAATGGGACTGGAGGGGTGGCTCCTTAGAGCCTATAATGCTCTTGCAGAGGACCCAAGATTGGTTCCCAGCGCCCATGTTGAGTGGCTCACAACCACCTGTAACTCCAGCTCACAGGAGACCCAACACCTCTACCGTCTGTAGGCATTTGCACCCATACGCATAATTAAAAATACAAATTTTTTTGTATCACTGACAATAGCGATTGGGATGTAACTGAGGCGGTAGAATTATCGAATGCATGAAACCCTGAGTTCCATCCCTGTAAAATGATAAACTGAGTGCGAAGACCCAGACCTGTCATCTGAACATGCGGGAGGTGGAGTGGGAGGGTCTGCGGTTCAAGGTCTCCTCCACTCGGAGAGTAGGAAGCCATCCTAGTCTCTCTGAGACCCTGTCTTCAGAACAAAACAATACTATCATAGTCAGTGTTCTTACCACAACAAAAAGTGTGTGAGGTTGGGCATCACATAGCTCAACTGAAGCAACCCAAATAAATAGATTTAGGGCGTTGGGAGGCAGTATTCTCGGTTTTTTGTGTCAAAGACTGGATTTCATTCACTCTGTGGCTTAGGTCTCAAAAGCAGGATCCTTGCCAGCAAGATAGCTTAGCAGATAAAGGCGCTTGCCCCGAACCCTGAGGACCTGTGCTCAATCCCCAAGAACCTACAGGTTGTTCTCTGACCTCCAGACAGATACACTCTGGCACATGTGTGTGCATATAAAACATAACCAACACGTAAACACGTGCAATCAGCAGGACCCTTAGTCTGATGGGGTTGCTCCCCATCTTGACGTTTAGTCTGATGGAGGAGGCAGTTTCATATGTAGTCATGTCTCCTTTTGTTGTTGTTGTTGTTGTTGAAGACAGGGTTTCTCTGTGTAGCCCTGGCTGTCCTGGAACTCACTCTGTAGACTGTACTAGCCTTGAAGTCAGAGCTCCACCTGCCTCTGCCTCCCGAGTGCTGAGAGTGTGTGTCAACACACCCGGCTGCCTGAGCTTCTCCTACCTCTTCTGTTTGTCCCAGCTTGCCCCCCTCTCACCAACCCCATGTGTTGCATGAACTTTTCAAATTCATGACGTCAACAAATGCCTACT